ATCAGTCTCTTTGCTGGCGTTCAATCTAGCATACAACTGCTGAATTTCCAAGATTTTTTCCTGAACCTTAGCTATCATATAATCAGGCAGTAGGGATTTAACTATGATCGCTGTGACGTCTGCTTAGTAGAGGAGCAAAGCATTGTAGTCATTCCTGAAGTCAGGGATGTCATTGCATATATAATATAAAATATCGGGCTTAAAAATAGAACCCTAGGGAACCCAGCGCAGATAATTTAGGTACCTGAAATTATGTCAGCTTGCTAAGAAATGAATTGTTCTTAGGGATGATTTTACGTGAAAACTCCATGTGGATAAACTTGAAGAGGATACCTGTTTGAAACACGCGGTCAAAGATTTTGACCACGTCTAGCATCAGGATCGATGTGCTCAACACGTTGCGCATAGCAAAAAAAATAAATTCCGCAATTCTTACGATCTGCGATGCGGTCGAGAGACCTTTTCTACAGCCATGACCGGCGATTTTCTGAATTTCTCTTTAATCTGGCTGTAAACGAGTCTTTCAAGAATTTTACTGAGGGATGAAAGAAGACTTTTCAATGTGTAGCTTGCTGGAAGTTTTTGCGGCTTGCCAGGCTTCTGAATTAGAAATATAAGGAAAATACGAACGCTGAAATCATGCATTGAAAATGCTTGTCACTTTATGGATTATTCTGTCAGGCAAAGTTGCTGAGCATTTTGCTGTTAATAGCATCTATCCCCGGTGCTTTACTCGAACTGAATATTTTGATGATATTCTTGACTTCATAAAGTAATACCAACACTGCAATTTTATTCGGACAAGGAGAGCCACTCCATGTTTCTGCGAATTCAATGATATTGTTTTCTGAATTTCTATCAGTCGCAAGTGCCTTAGGCATACACTGTTTCAATAGGTGCTCGCCGAAGAATTCGCTTTCTCCCCCCATTGGTGTAAATGAATCTCTGAGAATCTCTAAACGGTCTAGTTCAGACTTTCCGAATGTTTTAGGTTATTGCCAAGTTTACAGTGAATTATTATTCGGATTGAGATTCGCGAATTTTTCATTCCAGATACCAGTCTTATATTTCTGAGTCATCGTGTTAATTTTTCCATTCAAGCTATTGACCTCTGTCTTCACATTTCGGTTCCATATCTTATTAAAATTTTTTGCGGTGTGTTACGGACTGCAGTGACTTCTCCAATATGCAATTGAAGTTTATGTTTCGTAAATTTGCCGTCGATTACGCGTATAGCTTCATTTAAAACTCTGGTTGCATTTTTGATGTTTGCTTCAGTTTTCAGTGCACCAGTGTTGACACTTGAAATGGTTGCGATGTTATGAATCTACATGTGCAGTTCAAGCATATACAGTGCAGTGTCAAAAATACATGATCTGTAATGTAAATAGTGCTTACTACAAGCTATAATAGCCAATGTTTTAATTGATTACTTGAGATCGGACTTGTAAATACCTTTACTTTGCGTATTTTTTATTTTAAATGACAATAAACAAAGTGTTCATTCGAAAGATACTTTGCATCTTTTACTGCTAAAATACATAAAATCTTAATCTTATTTACTTAATCTTTTACTACTAAAATACATGAAATTATTGCCCTTTAAGATGATATTATAACAGTTAGAAGCAATGTTTTGTCACAGTTTCTTTCAAGATTTTTTATTATCAACTTCTTTTATTTACCTCAAATATCTTCATTTCAGTTTTTTTTGTTTATGTTTTAGTTTATTTCTTGCTTTTAATTTCTTACCTTACAGCTCTAAATACGTACAAATAGCGGCTCGTAGAAAGGGTTTAGGCGCGTGGGAATACAAAACAATTGTCAGAGGAAAAGCAGTGAAGAAAAAAGAAAATATTTGAGTGAACTTGTAAAAATTCATTCCTTCTTCACCAAGAGTATTCCGCAACCACCATTTGAAGAAATCGAATATAATGTACAGAATACATTAAAGGAGACGAGTGTTCTTTCAGCCTTGAATGAAGATGAAGGTGTTACAGAAAACCATGATGAATAAGTGGAGAAGAAGAATCAACCATTTATTCATAGAACGTATAGATTTTGTCTAAATGGCGATTTTCAAAATGCAGATTCTAATTTTTCAGAATTCAAGATGAGTCTATAAAAACCAGACACGTTTATCGTACGGTGATTCTGCGAATATGTCAGAAGCCTATACCTGTATCTAAGCAAGAAGTAAATATGCAAACAAATTTGCTGAATTTATACCCTTTTCAGCCCATTGTTTGAATCTAGCTGGAAGTTTAGCGGTTATTTGTTGTAATGAATCTACAAATTACTTTACATTTCTGCAAATCTAAGACTTGTTTTCGGCATTCAGAATGCATTGGGAGACACCGAATAAGAATGATGTACAAATAACATCAAAGAGTCTGCCATCCACAACATGCTCAAACGTGTATTAAAGTCTTGGAAAGATATGCACAGCACTCTGAAATCAATCTCAAATTACAGTCCAGAGAAGACAGTCACGAATGCAGAAGCAATCGAGAAAATAATCGGATTTGAAACTGCGTTTAGGATTTTTTTTTAGTTGTATTCGGAATCACATCAATATAGTTAGTAAAAACCTACAACTGGAAGACTCGATATTGGATAGGTCATCCATCTGTGTAAATCCTTACTTTCGTTTATTTCATCTCCCTGTGAGAACTTCACAATCTATGAAGAGGAAGACAAGACGTTGTTTGATAAGCAGAACTATATTGCAAGCAAAAAGCGTACCAGAAAGAGAAAGTATCGATGATGAAGAAGTTCTGTTCGATGCCAAGAATTATTTCAAAGTAAATGTATTCCTTGCAACTGTGGATCGATTATCTCGGAAGTAGACTGTCGAAAATGCGCGTACGACAGTGTCCTAAATTTTCTACGTTCTCTTTAAATTTCGGAGACTCTCTGTTGGAGAAATAAGGAGTAAGGCTTTAAAATTATGAACAGTTTGTTCACAGGATATTTCAGATGATCTAATTGAAGACATTCTTGCCCCTCAAAGAGGACGCAAGAAGACGGAAAAGCATGTAAATACGACTTCCGATACGTCGACATTCCGTATAACTCGATAACGTTTTAGGAACTTTTATAAGATGATATCTCTAGGCCTAACAGAGCAAATATTATATACATAACTATTATTCGTGCGTATGTCTTCCCTGTTCTGTTCAAAGATTTGAGTGTTATTTTTCTGCAATTTTTGCCGTTTTGGCATTGTACCATTAATTCTTACGTTCGTATGTTTTAATTGCTATAGAAAAATGACATAAATGTTTTTCTCATTTTTTCTAACGCTTCACTTTGTAAAATAATGTAAGCAATTTATATATAATGCAATTCTTAATCCTTCATTTATTGGAAATGCGCACGGGAAAAAATTAAGTTTTTTTCTCCTACTACCTCAGTAAATTTCAAAGTCCTAGATGCGCGCTGGTTTCACAGAGCGACCACCATCCACAGATCAATCAATGAGCAAGAGTAGATTTTTTTTAATTCCTATATTATTTGTCTCTAGGATCATAATATTCGATTTCTAGAGTCCCTTTTAGTTAAAACGTTATAAAAATAATATCATGCTCTCAAAGAGTTAAATATTAAGAGTTCCGAAAAACCCATCCCTGATTCCGTAAAACTAAACTTTTCAGAAACTCGACAGTCTCTCAGTCTACATTATTTCGAGTTTGCGGGACTCTATTGTATCAACAATATATGCAACTAGATTTAGGATTGGAATCTGCTTGATATTGTTTCCTAATATCGACATAGTTTTAAGAATTTACAAATTAATGGTAGTAAGCAATTGTTTTGGGGACCGTTGGTTCTCATACTTGAAACGAATTAAAGCATACTTTCACTGAAGTATGTCCGAAAGCAGACTAAACGATTTAGCATTTTTATCAATTGAAACAAACACTGCGAATTTTATTTTATTTGACAATGTGATTAAAAGTTTCTTTGAGAATGAATTCTGATGAAGTGTAATTCGAGCGAAAGGAAAGATGATTTTTATTTATTTGAAAATCCAAAATATGCAGATACGTATGCTAATATTTGAGTTTTTATATTCTGTTGGAACGAAGTTTTTGTCGCATTATGTGATTCTAATAAGCGTTTAAAGAACTTTCGTATTCCTTATTTTATTACTTATTTTTAGTTTTGTAAGAAATGTAGCACAGGCGGCGATTGTAAATCCGCCTCTGGTCTTAACATCAACAACTCCATCAGATGCGCCTGCTGTGCTAGCCTCATTAGAATTTGGACGTTTCCTTTTCCCTGTCTGCTGGGGACGACCATGCTTCCGTGATGTTAGAAGATGCTGTTACTTCCGTTATTGCAAAGCAAGTTGAACCTTTCTTCCGGTACCTTTATTTCTGGCAGCATTTTAACCGCACTTTTACTGCAATGTCATATGGAATCTGTCTGTTGCAATACTCTAAATCCAGCTTAGCTTCTAGTTGATTTTCAGCGACTTTATCACAGGCCATGATTATGTAGCCAGCTTAACTTTTTAATCTGCTTTCTTCTAGCCAAATGCTACTGTGAACGATTGAATGGTCAAAATGATTAACTTTCCTTTTCAAAGCTCAAATTAGGAACTTCTAGACTGTCCTCATTCTCTTTTAAGAATTAGTTGAGATATTTAGAATAAGGGCTATTTAATAAACAGCGGAATGCTAGATAAAAACACAAATGTCAAAATATCAAAGTACCTGGAATCATTTTAACATTAAAATATGATACGAGCTCAGGGTTTTGCTGAGATCTGGGCATGAAGGTTGGAAGCTTGTGAGTGAATCAACTGCTCAGACAAGCATTATACAGGCTGAATTTTACAAATATTTGCACGTTGTTTTTATTTATAATAAATAATTAACATACTTTAAAAAGAATTTAATAATAAAAGGAATATTTTAATCAAATTTAATTTAATAACTTTAATCAAATTTACTTAATAATTCATTACAGTATTCATTACAGAAGTAGCTTACTTGTTTAATCGGAATATGCAGAATGGTTCCCATATAGGTGGGGTGAACGGATAAGAAGTAGAATGCCATCCAGTACTGACCGAATAAAGCAACAGTCAGAGCATAAGTAGGAATGGACGTCACCAGAGATTTCCATGGAATGGATGGTGGCTGGAAAAGTATAAAACAATGAAAGGGAATTTTATTTATCTAGGAGTAAAACATTAAGTGCTTTTTAGTTTATATACGATCACAAATTCAATGATTAAATATTAAGATTAAAAGAAGTGAAATAAAAGTAAATTTTAACAAAAGCTTTGCAGCGCTTCTTATAGTGTAAATGAACGATTATAGCATAGAATGCCTTGTATTTTCTTTTGCAAACAAACAACACAAAGTGTATCTAATAAAATTGCTAATAGATGCGAGAATTGTACTGGAAACGAAATAACTGGTTAAAATTCAGTTTGATTTCAGTTGAAAGGATTGTATGCATTTAGAAAAAAAGCCCGCTTACAGTTTAAAAAAATAGAATCTTAGCAACTGAAATGAATAATAAATAATCTCTTAACTTCGGCAACCTTTAAAGCCCACCCTTCGTCAGAAGTGTGTATATACAATCATCAGTATGGTAATGTACTGTGAGGGGAACATGTTCACAAAGGGGCAGGAATATTTTGGGTTCACGATCAAGATATTATCCTTCTCATGTTTCACGGACTTTCGACGGCTTCACTATTTCTAATACATATTTAAAAATATAAAGTAGAATCAGAAATCAGAACCTTAAATCAAAATATGATTCCATCGATGATCAAAGGTGTCTTATCAGAGAAGAGTTTCAGAAAAGTATATTCAACCTAAAATTTAAAGTTAAGGAAAGTTCAGTTCTACGCTGATTTCACTTCATTCTTATTTTGTTATATGTTTTATTCCTGACAAGCTAGCTCCAACTGAAGCAAAATAAATAAATAAATAAATAAACAATTATAATTACAAATATTTAGAATGATTAGTTATGAATGATTCAATAACTTCCTTTTTTTCTAACATCATGTTTGTTGTTTCCAGATGTGAAATTTTAATGCTACTTTAATTTGACTACTGTATGTTAAATCACAATGATGAAAAGTGTTAGAAGTCACGATTTCAAAACTATCTTTAAGGATTAAATCCTTATGATAAAACATTTTGGTTAGTAATGATTACTTAAATACCGAATATTATATTGAGCTTGAACAGACTACATGAATTAAAAAAATTAGTCGTGTTATATGATAGAATCGCTACATATTCAAGACTTTTGACAGTATAAAGTATCTTAAATGATTGTAAATTTACTTAGATGAGAAACCTTCAAATGAAGCCAAAAATGATGAGGATTTAAAAGTGTGCTTTGCGAGCATGTGGAACAGACAATCCGTTATTAAAGCGAACCTAGCCTTGATCTAATTTTATTTAAAAATTTCTTTAAAATCATTACTGCAATTAAATATGTTAAAATTTACAGTTTATAATCATTGATAATATGTGAATAAATTGTAATAAAATCTTCCTGATATTAAAAAATGAAAATTTTAAAGAATATATTATAATATTATATATTTATTCTAATAAAAAAGTTATACGAGTATATGTAAAATAAAAAATATGCGTATATGAATTAAAATTTAAATTAAGAATAGTTTCTTTGATAGTAATTTGGGTACTTGCCGTTTCTAGTCTAAAAACAACAAACACTTTTTCTAGGCTGCGTCATTTCTAGATTAATCTTAGCATATGACTTTAACATAACGACGATGACGTAACTAACTCGGAACTTAAACCGAAACCTTTCTATTGATAAGCTGCCATATTGGATAACTTTGCTCTGTTCTTTTCACTTGGTTAAAAATATTCGGAAATTGCATTATATAAGTAGCAATGTGTAACTTGGAGGAGAAGCAGCAAGATTGTGAGTATATATTTACCAAATGTAAAATATGATTTTGTGTTTGACATATTGAAATAATGTGTGTATCTATGTAACGTAATGTTCTTTCTCACGGTTTAGTAATAAAAGTTGATTGCTCACAGCGGAACAATTGCCTTAGCAAGAACTTACTCGCGATATGTGAAGAAAACTGGCTGAAATAATAATGACAAATTTCAGATCATCTTTTTCTAATGAAAGCAACCATGAGGTGAAAGCCTTCTTTCTCAGCTGCGTATAAGGAACGTTCGACAAAAGTGAGCCCTATTTTAAGGATTCATCTCTAACCACAAGCTTGTCAATATCACGCGGTTTTCTGAGAGGCGCATCTGGAAGGCACGTTTTCTGCTTTTGCCTGTGACAATACAAAAACCGGCTAGTTAATAACTTATAAAACCTGAACGTGTCTACTATATTATTGTCATGCGATGATTTGAAAGGTGCTTTATTTTTTACCACTATACTTTTACGACGATGTTTTCTTCTCTGGTTTCTTTTCTCTCACCACATTTTGTGCGACGATGTTTTTCCTTTTGGTTTTGCTTTTCTCTTTGGCGTTTTCGTCCGCAGTGTTTTTTGCCTCGGTGTTTTCGATGGTCACCACCAAGAGCAGCTTTTTAAGCACAACTTCAGTACACTAATGGATAAATGTGTGAAGGTAGAAAACAAAGTGATCATACGTTTCCTGTATCAGAAATTCAGTATAAGTCATCAGTGTAAAAGGTTGTGAATGAGGAAGGTATATTTTAAAAAGTAAGTTAGTAATAGGTGCCAAAATTACTCCTAAGTGCACAAAAATATCTGAATTAACTTTGCAACAGAGACTGTTGCGTTATTAGAGTGACCGGTGATTCTTTCCAGTTGAGTAGCAGGTGATGAAATATGCTTCGAGCCAGGAACGTAACCAATGAATCTGCAATGGAGGCACCCAGCATGCAGTTAGTTGTGCTACGGAAGAAATGCTACATGTTTTTTAAACTGTTTTTTCTCCGAAAGGGGTATGATGCACATCGAGTTCTTTCATTAAAGAGATCCTATTAAATACTGCAATATTTGCGCATCTCTAGCAAAAATCAAAGGTGCAAGATAAAGAGCTCCTCAATTGCTTGTACGATGACGCTCGGCTACATGCTTCTCATGTAAAACATTCTTGTTACGAAATTTCAATGGCAGATACTACGGTATCCTCCCCATAGTCTGGGCATATCACCCTACTGTTAGCATTTCTTGTACTTTTCTAAAGAACTACCTCAGACACTGATGTTTCCACTTGACGACTGAATTGACTGATTCTATAACAGTCGGTATCCTCCCAGCCTCGGAGCTGACCTTGCCTCGTAATGTGGTTTTTTTAAACTTTATTTAACCACTTTTTTTTTGGGAGGGGGTAATAGGAAGTGCCTAGAGTAAGAATTTAATATTCACTCAGTTTTCCCTAGAAGTTTAATTCTCTTTACTACAACTGTTTGTGGATGTCGCGCAATATACATTTGCAAATTTCTGTAAAGTGCATTGTAATGTGTACTGTTTAAAGGTGTATGTTCTGCTGTAAAGTAATTTGGGTATCTTAAATAATATAATAATTATGTAAATTATGCAATTATTTCCTGAGCCACAACAGCTACATTATCTTACAATGTTATTTTGAAGTATCTCCTGATGCTGGATATGCGGAGATGCGAGACAATACCACCTAACGTTTTGGTAGAATGATGGTATCTGAGTCTCCCATCAACTGCCAACCGGTATCCTCCCAGTCAGATACGTTTTCGAGAATGGTATTCAGTCGTTAATACAACTATGACGTTTCTCCTTGCAATCTTTAACTAATTACTATTAATTGGTGTATAATTATTAAACTATCTCTTCACTTTTTTCATTTGAGCCGTACAAACATATCCGAGGTTAATACAATTTATGTAAATTTCAAATAATATCCTTACTCTAGAAGAAGTATCATTTTCCTGATTCTTCAGAATATATTGTAGTTCTTTTTCGGATATATCAGGATCATCTGCAGGCCTCTCCACGTAGAGAAACACCAACAAGATGCTCAAAAGCACACCAGCCAAGCCTGTAGAGAAGAAAAGAGCCGTAGTTTTAAATCAGTGTTTGTTCATGCGTCATTATTTTATAATCCTTATTCAGATATATAAATATATAATGTTTGCATTTCCAGCCGTAATTTTCAAGGGAAGAACTAAAATAGCTATATATCTGGAATATATGATGCTATTGGTTTTCTTTGGCGCAGAAAGTGTTTCTGAAGACCATAAGTATTCAATTTGCACTAAAAAATTCCAAAACAATTTATCTTGTACATTAAATTACAATCTGCTAATCCTGCTTTACGATATATCCTGCTTTACCATATATAATATGCAGAAGATAATTTTTAGAAGCTCAGAAGAAACCATTAATAAAACAAACAATTTATATAGAAGATGTTTTATGATATTAAAAATATCAGTACATTAAAACAAAAATCTATCATTTACTTCACTGTAAATACTTGTATTTACAGTAATATCACAAAGCATGCTTTGAATAAAAACTCAGTATTTTCTGTCCGTTTGTGTAATTGCATGTATTTCTAAATCGTATGTTATATAAATGTGTCCAGACGAAGGGCTTCTAAAATAACATAATTGCGTCTCAAAACGTATTTAAAGTAATATAGCGTAATGATGCACATTATATAAAATAGGCTGCAGAACCAGATTCACAAATAATTTGTCAAATCTAGGGAGGGAAGCCTCAGTTATAGACCACGGGATTACAAAGAAAAAATCTGATGTGTACTCCACATGGCTTCCTTGTACGGAATATTAAATTATAGGCAATTTTCCTGCATTCATTTAAACATATTGAATTAAAAGTTAACGAATTTTGAATTGAATCTACTTCGTCGATAACTCACAAATCACAATAAAATAAATGCACTCTTTAGTGTATTATATTTATTTACCACCAAAGTTCACTATATTTATTTACCATAGCGACACTTCGACGCTGGGTTCATTTAACAGCGTTACATCTTATTCATTTTATAACTCAGAATGCACAAAAATTATAGCATCTGAAGAATTATCCCATGTTCCATTCAAATACTACAATAAATCCAATAAATCTAAAACGATGTATAAAAGAAATTAAACAAATAAAAAAGAAACAGTTTTTCACAGACAATTCAGCGCAGCTTAACTAATTCGCATGCGCTAATTAATTCAGTTCTCACTTCGTGGCAAGGCAAAAATACATAAAAAATTCAAAATATTTTCATTAAAAATTAAAAGATATAGAAAAACATAAAACACCAAGTATAGTTAAAAATTAAAAAGCAATTTTCACAATTAAATTACAGTTTCTACGCAAAAACAAGCTAATAACTTAAATGATAATTCCAGAATGAATTAAGCATAATTTAATTCGCAATAATAAAAGAAGGCGTTATCTTTGTTGTGGCGTAGCTTAGTTTCTCTAGATTCGCAACAAATCCACTATTCTGCACGAAGTTTCAAATGTAAACACGTATAGCTGCCATGCTAAACAGAAATTAGGCTTAGCCGCACTTAAAAAACTTTTAAATTGTTGATAATTCCACAATTATTACATGCAGGTTAACTAAAAGCATAAAATCCTTAACCGGAAGATATGAAGAATATAATTCAATCATTTTTAAAGCACAAAATGCACAATTTACAATCATATAAGAATAAAGAAACTGAGCTCACTGAGCCGAGTAACAGATTGGATATATATATACACATATTTATATACTTTTGGTGCGCCCGATTGCAACCAAAATGGGAGGTGCACATCTACATGTTATAGCAGTCCTATATACAAAATTTCAATGTTCTGAGGCTACTCGTTTTTGAGTTATGCGAGATACGTACATACGTACAGATGCCACAAATAAATCTCTTCGGAATTAATTTTAAATCAGTTTTATAATTTTTTTGGTGAGAAAAGAGTTCTTTATTCTGTCCTTACGTACAGATGTTTCGCAAAAACATCGTTAAATCGCATTCGATAGCGGTCAAAACGAATATTTTCGTTGAAATATGATACGCGAACGATTACAATACTTCCTTTTACTTCGTACAAGGAAGTAAAAAGGGTAGAATGTTGGCTAGTGACCAAAAAATAAAAAAAGTAACGAATAAATAAATAAATCTAGCTTGCAATGTATTTAGGCAAGTGAAAAATTTGTAGCATTTTTACTTCCTTGTACGAAGTAAAAAGGAATTATTGTAATCGCGAAAAGTTTCAGGCAGCATGTTTCAACGAAAATATCCATTTTGACCGCTATCGAATGCAATTTAACGATGTTTTTGCGTGATATCTGTATGTAAGGACAGAATAAAAGACTCTTTTCCTCCAAAAAAATTATAAAACTGCTTTAAGATGAATTTTGAAGAGAATTTTTCGTGGCGTCTGTACGAACGTATGTACGTACGTATCTCGCATAACTCAAAAACGAGTAGCCTCAGGACGTTGAAATTTTGTATATAGGACTGCTATAACATGTAGATGTGCACCTCGTACTTTGGTTGCAATCGGCCGCGCCAAATGTATATAAATATATTTATATATATATCCACTCTATTACACGGATCAGTGATCTCAGTTTCTTTACTCTTATATGTTTGTAAATTGTACATTTTTTGCTTTAAAAATGATTGATTTATGTTGTGTTTAATCTTCCTATTAAGGATTTTATGCGTTCAGTAAATTTGTATGCAATATTTTTAGAATTATCTAAGCCTTTTTTATATGGCGGCCATTGATTGTTTACATTTGATACAGTAGACTAGTGGATTTGTTGCCAATCTAGAGAAACTTAGCTTCGCAACAACAAAGGTAACGCCTTCATTTATTATTGCCAATTAAATCATGCTTAATCTTTTCTGGAATTTTTTCGAGGAAATAAGTGTTTAAATTTACTTCGTAATTTTTAATATAGATATTTTGAGTTTTTATGTATTTTTGCCTTCTCGCGAAGTGAGAACTGAATTAATTGAATGAAAAAATACTCAATCGTCTGTGAAAAACTGTTCCTTTTTGTTTAGTTTGCTTAATTTCTTTTATACATCATTCTAGCTTTATTATAGTATTTGAATAAAACATGTGGCAACGATTAGATAATTCTATTCTTTAAATGATATAAATTTTGCGCATAATGATTTATAATATGAACGAAATATAATACTGTTAAGTGAATCTAGCGCCAGAGTGTCGCTATGGTAAACAAATACTAGAGTGAATTTTTAAGAATGCTTTATTCTATTGTGGTTTATGCGCTGTCGGCGAAGTAGAGTTAATTCAATCCAATAATTTGAAATGAAAAGCAAGAAAAAATGTGCATAATTTAATATTCCGTACAAGGAAGTCATGTGGTGTACACATTAGATTTTTATTATTAGGAAAGCCCAGCAATGGAAGAAAAAAACTCCTTCTGCTCATGGGGTGAAAATCACGAAAACTTCCCCATAACCAATCTGATTGCCTTGATTTGAAGTCAGTTACCTATCATCAGTGGTTTTACCGCTTGGCCGCAGAACGTTTTGCATCACCGGTTCTTGAAATTCCAAATAGTCTGTTAATTGCAAAATAGCGTAAAACAGATTAGTATTTTAATATTTTTTCGTTTACCTCACCAGTGTTGTATATTCAGTTCGTAGCCAGCGTATTTATTATCGCTTTAAGTGTGCACTATCCGTATCGCGTTAAAATAATTACAGTACGATACATCTTTCAGCAGTAAAATCATTTCCAGTATGTCTTGCATTCTGACCTAATTTTTTTAAAGGCTAAACTCTTACCGCTCCATTTAATTTATCATTTTAAGTTACTGGATTTTGACAGCCGAAATATACAGTTTTTGCTTGTCACATCTTCATTCATCATTTTATACATTTGTTTCAAAAATTGATCAAGTAGGTTACTTCCCAGATTTTTCAAAACTGAATTTTGAAATTTGCCAAATAGCGGCTGTATCGCCAAATCTTGCTATATATTTTTAACTGTTTGTGGTATTTTAAGGCGTAGGCAAAGGCATGAAGAAGACTTAACAAAACCAATTTCGGCAAATCAATATGTTTATTTTTATGCATGTAAAATACTTTGGCAGACAAATTATCAGCCATTGTTACAATAAATTTTTATGTATACTGGTTTTAAAAGGACGATGTCATTTCAGGCAGGCAGGAAAGCATAAAACCACTATCACATACGCTATTTGTTGCCGGAAACACGACGTCAAAAGAAACATTTCTCGAAACTGCGTACCACGAAACCAGGTTAACCGTCTTCACTTAGTAAACAGACTTGAAAGATTGGCGAAAGAGACGTTTGCTTTCAATTTCCGTGTACATATAAAATATATTTTATAACTATTTTAATACTGTTGGTTCAATACTTTGGCAAAATGACATGCATTTATTACATTAATTGTTACTTTTAAATTGTATATTTTTTTTACTCTGACTGTTGTAATAATCTGTTGTATATATTTTTGTAAATACTTTTACGTCGTACATTCAGTGATTTGTCATTATTTCTGATTTTAATATTGAAAACAATATTTTTGTATCCATATATTTATTTAATAACTTTTATGTGCGTAATATAATGTCATTTATATAGATTTTGTGATGAGTGAAAAATATTTATTTTATCCTCAAAATGTTAAATATTTCGTAAAGGCTACTTGTTCAGTTTTTGTTTTTGTTTTTGTTTAAATTGTCCTAATGCACAAAATGTACTTCAATTATTTTTCAGGTATGTATTCCATATCCATGATATTGTGCAAAGAACTGATGACTACAGTTGCTGCCAGTTACATGATCGTTACATGAATTAGAAGTAACTTCAAATAAACTTTTTGACAATGTTCATTTTTTTGTTCACACACATCTAATAAGTCATATATTTACATACTCATAGAGAGAGAGAGATGCGATGGTTTAGAAGTTGTTGATGTATGTTTATTAGTATTAATGTAATAAATAAGATTTATATTAATGAATACATATACAAATGTTTTTCATCATTCATAATAATAAATCC